ACTGATCTCTGCTCATACAAGGTATCCTCATCCACATCTAAGTTGGTCCACATGTGCGATTGATCCAGCTCATACTTCTGAAGCATACTAATATGAAACACATCATGAATCCCGGAAAGCTGTGGCGGCAAGGCCAAATGATAAGTTACCTCTCCGATCCACTCAAAGATCTCAAAAGGCCCAATGAATCGAGGGGATAGCTTCCCACTCTGTTCAAACCTCATCAAACCTTTTCTAGGTGATATCTTCAAGAATACATGATCCCCCACCTCAAAAGACAAAGGTCTCCCCCCACAGTCGACATAACTTTTCTGGCGACTCTAGGCCATAACCAACCTCTTATGGATAAGTGCAACTTTCTCCGTCGTCTTTAAGACTAACTTTGGACCCAACGAAGGTGCATCACCCACCTAGGCCTAACACACTGTGGATCTACACGGTCAACCTTACAAGGCCTCAAATGGTGCCATGCCAACGCTCAATTGGAAGCTATTGTTATAGGCAAACTCCACTAAGGGCAAGTGCCTCTCGCACGAATCCTTAAAGTCCAGGACACAATCCCGAAGCATATCCTCTAAAATCTTAATGGTGCGCTTTGACTGCCCGTCAGTCTGATGATGAAGCATATCCTCTAAAATCTTAATGGTGCGCTTTGACTGCCCGTCAGTCTGATGATGATACACAATGCTAAATGTTAGTCTCATGCCTAAGGCACTCAGTAGGCTCAACCACAACCGAGCCGTGAAGCGCAGATCTCTATCCGAAACAATCGTCATAGGGGCCCCATGCAACCTCACTATGTCCCTAATGTAAAGGTCAACAAGATAATCTACCGAGTCATTCACACACATATGTATAAAGTGCGCCGACTTAATCAACTGATCAACTACCACCCAAATGGCATCACTACTCCGTTGAGTCCTCGGAAGGGTTGCAACAAACCCACTGGACTCTGGTGTTTGGCCTTCACTTGTTGACAAGTAAGGCATCTTGACACAAACGCGGTCACATCCTTCTTCATTCCTCTCCACCAAAACTGGCGACAAAGGCCGTGATACATTTTTGTGCCTCCCGGATGCACTGCAAGGCGTGAATGGTGAAACTCTTGGAGTACTTCCTCCAGCAAGACTCCGGCACGAAGAGACGGTCAAGGTATCTAACACTCGAGTCGGAGTACATTTTCAAGCTTCTTTCTACCTTCCTACTGGAGATCTTCTCCTGGAGGGATTCTACCTCAAGGTCACCCTTCTATGCTTCTATCACTCGGTTCACAAGTGTAGGTTGTGCAACTACCAAAAACAAAGATGTAGACTTAACAGACTCGCCAAGATACAAGTCAAACTCCCCAATAGCATCCAACATCTCCCATTCTCAAATGGCAATACAAGCTACACTGCTAATGGATTTCCGACTCAAAGCATCGACCACAACATTGGCCTTTCCCGGATGATAATGTAACTCAAAATCATAATCTTCTATAAACTCCATCCACCTCATCTGCCTCAAATTCAAGTCTTTCTATGTAAATAGATATTTCAGACTCTTATGATAAGAAAACACTTCAAACTTCTCACCTTACAAATAATGCCTCCAAATCTTCAAGGCAAAGATCCCCACCGCTAACACTAGGTCATGAATAGAGTAGTTTCTCTCATGTGTTTTCAGTTGCCGCGAGCCATAAGCTACTACTTTTCCCTCTTGCATCAAAATACAACCCAAGCTTTCCCATGAGGCATCACAATACACCGAATAGCCCAAACCCCTCTCTGGAATAATCAAAATCGGAGCAGTGGTAAGTCTAACCTTAAGCTTTTGGAAAGACTTCTCACAAGTCTCACTCCACACAAACTTGTTCCCTTTTCTTGTCAGTCTAGTCAATGTTGAGGTTAATCTAGAGAAATCCTTCACAAATCTATGATAGTACCCGGCCAACACCAAGAAACTACGGATCTCAAAAGCATTCTTAGGTGGTTCCCAATCTTGCACTGCCTCTATCTTGGATGAATCTATAGTCACCCCTTCCCCAGATACCACATGGCCTAAGAACTTAACTTCTCTCAGCCATAATTCACACTTCTCAAACTTAGCATACAGTTTGTGGACTCTAAGCAACTCAAGTACCACCTACAAGTGTTCCTCATGCTCCTCTTCAGAGGGTGAGTAAATCAAGATGTCGTCCATAAAGACGACCACGAAACGGCCTAGGAACTCACGAAAGATCCGATTCATCAAATCCATAAACATAGTTGGTGCATTGGTTAGCCCAAAGGGTATCACTAGAAACTCATAATGGCCATACGACATACGGAATGCTGTCTTTGGGATATCCTCCTTCCTTACTCTCAACTGGTGATAACCTAATCTCAGGTCTATCTTAGAGAAGCAACAAGACCCCTTCAACTGATCAAACAAATCATCTCTACGAGGCATTGGGTACTTATTCTTAATAGTTACCCAGTTCAACTTCCGATAATCTATACAAAGTCGCAACGCACCATCTTTCTTTTTAGCAAAAAGAGTCGATGCTCCCCAAGGAGAAGTACTAGGGCGAACAAAACTCTTATGTAACAATTCTTGGAGTTGAATCTTCAACTCACTCAACTTAACAGGTGCAAATCTATACGGTGCCATAGAAATCTGTGTCATGCCAGGCACTAAGTCAATAGAGAACTCGATCTCTCGGTGAGGTGGTAAACTAGTAAGATCCTCTAGAAAACATCCAGGTATTCACAAACTACCCATGGCAACTCAACTCGAACTTCATCATACTCAGTACTCAAGAAGTTGGCAAGAAGGCAACTAAGCTCACTCCACCCACGCAGATCATACACCGGTGATAAAGACTCTATCCACCTGGTCCCCCAAGAAATAAAAGCATTCACCGCTCAAAGTACATACAGTAACCTTCTGACGATAGCAGTCTATAATAGCCTGATAGGATGACAACCAGTCCATACCCAAGATAACGTCAAAACTAGACGCATCAATCAATACAAATGCAAAAGGAAGTCGGCAACCGACAACCTCTATGTCACAACCCCGACATACCTGCTTCAAAACAACCTCACTACCAATAAGTGATTCTACATAGATAGAAGATGCTAACTAAGCCAACTCTAATCCCAAAATCAATGCAAATATAGACGAAATAAATGAATGGGATGCACCCATATCAATCAAAACATTAGAAATTGAATTGCAAAACAAGAAGGTACCTCTCATTACTGAAGGCGCTGGTATAAGATCTGGTGTGGTAATAGCATACACATGCATTATAGGCCTCTGTTCAACTTTTTCACCCCTTGGAGCATAAGCTTAATGCACTGACTGAGCCGAAGAGGCTCCCTGATTGGCCATCGAGGCCTGTGTAGGCTGGTGACCCTGTGTCTGCATCGAACCAGACGCACGTGAGGGTAAAATCTCTTCACGTGCCCTACTTGCCCACATTGATAACAAGTGAGTGGTTGCCCTCTCCTCTGACTCTGGCTCTGAGGACGAGCCGAAGACGATGCAGACAATTTCCCTCATCCTCTCTGTGGGCAAGTTGGAGACTTGTGGCCCAACTGCCCACACTTGTAACGAGTGAAATCTCCCTAACCACTTCTCTCAAAACCTGAACTTGGCACTGGAAAGTGGACCTCGACTGAGCTCCCTAGGACATTTGCGGATTAGGACCCCTCTGCCTCTTACTATCCTCCTGAATATACTGACTCCTCCTAGAGCCCCTCATCCTCTTATCCTCTATCTGTATCCCAGTCTCAAGATGACCCGCCGCCTCCATAAGGTGTCTATAATCCCTAATCATCGACCCGGCCAATTTGAACATGAGCCCGATCCTCAACCTCTTCTCAAACTTCGAACAACAGCGCTCATCTGTCTCCACTAACTCTGGTGCAAACCTAGAGAGGATGGTAAATATGGCCTCAAATTGTGCCACTGGAGTGTTCAATTGTACCATTTTAGAAAACTGATCCCTTAACTTTTCCCTAACAGTGGGAGGCAAAAACTTGTCCTGGAAGACGCTGGCAAAAGCCTCCCAAGTCACCCCAATGCGTCCATACGCATACTTTCACCACTGACCCGCATCTCTCTTCGGCTGGAAGGATGCCAAGGTCACTCTCAACTGGTCATCCTCAATGCCAAGCATCTCGAATGTCGTTACTATTTCCTCTAACCACTAATCTGCCTTCAGTGGTTCCTTAGGATTACCCACAAATTCATCCGGATTTGATCGGAAAAACTCTCGCTTCAAGACAGATGGCCTTACCTCAACTACATGGGCCTGGGCTTGATTCTCAACTCTGAGAATGTCCATAGATTTCCCGCAATGCTCTGGCTATTTCACAAGCTAAAGCACGCATGGCCTTCTGACCTCCTGGTTCGGCCACATTGGCCTAACCAACCCCTTCTTCCTACGCCAGAATTTTTTCCGATAAAGGCACCTCATGCCTTCTAGGCCTACCACGCCTACCTCCACTATGTCTACGTCCATGTCCTAACATCCTAATGAAGGTAACATAATAGATTAGCACATTTACAAATGTATCAAAGCTAACTCACTCACATCCTGAAGTAGTGGACAACAGTAATTCACTCCACCTAAGCACATAGTCATGTAAACACATACGAATTTCCTTCCCAGATAATAACCGTCTCGTGATGTTGCCAAAGTTTCGGTTAGAAAAAATAGTGATCATGTGCTTTTTTAATAGGACTTTTAGAAACACGTAGACCCAATCCATATCTTTGGAATTATATCCCATACTCATATAATCACATAAGCATGTTATCATGTAAGCACACCATACATACTAAAATGTCTAACAAGCGAGACAAACTCATTGTGGAAATTACCACTTTCCATGTACCCAAAGTATTCAAACCCGGTACGCTCTGATACCATGTTGTAATGCCTCCAAAATAATTACAATAATCTAACTCCAAACACTAGTACAATGTGATATAAACAAAATAATAAGCTTTCATTACCAGAGTTAATGTACAAAAGATGACACATGTGATATACATTCATAAATCATTCATCCTGAATCTACAGCATGTGTTACAAGATGAAATAAAGAATGGAAGCTAAACAGATAGTCATATGCCCTAATGGCTTACATCTTTCCAAGACCATGCTTGGTTACAACAAAATGAGTCATAAGCTCAATACAAATAAAGTCCTAAGCTTGCACAAAAGATAAATACAAAGTAAACAAAAGTGAGCCTTCAGCGCCACAATCCTCCCAAGCTAAGTCCTTAGCAGAGGCATATCACCAGCACCTAAAAATGTTTTTCCCAAATAGGGTGAGCTAAAACCCAATAGAAACAATCAGGCACAATATATGAATATTAACAAAGATATAAGTATGATATGCATATATAATGTCCATGATAAAATCATTCGTATTCTTACAAGATCTTAATATGCCAAGTTTCACATTTCAAGCCATTTTATCTTAATTCATTTCATGACAATTCATTTCACCTCAATTCACGAGTCAAGTCTATTGTTATCTGGACAACCCAACTGAGGCTATAACTCAGTGGCTCTCTTACATAAACACTTCAAATTTTGCCATTTTACAGAAATTTCATCCGAGCAAATCAGGACCCATGTATACGCGCGATTTTTGGGACTTTGACCCTGGACACACAGGCCAACTTAATTCAATGGAGTCCATTCCGTTTCTCCTCCCAAATATCATACATACACAATGTATTAAGACACAGTCATATTCAATGACAATAGTTAAGAGATTAGTTTCAATTCACCTAATCCTCGTGCAATTTCTACAACAATCATAGCAATCCTCCACCGATAGCCCAAAACAAATATTTCTAAATAGATATACAATCTCTAAGACATATAAATTATCCAAATTTCGATAGATAAGAAATAACAAGTATCTAACTCCACCATTTATATAAACATCTATCCAATTTCACATTCCCCATACCAATTTCGTTATTTATACAAAATAATTATTTGAAACATTTTAAGGCAAAATTCCATTTTCTCCCAAATCCAATCCATGTGTCAAAATTAACAAATTTAACACAACGCATTCTAATATCTACACCCATAACCATTTTCAATACCTTCATTTGAAAGCCCCTTTTAGATTTTAAACCAAAGCCCTAGGTTTGTCTAAAATCCTCCAATCCCAACATTATTTACACAATCAACAAATAACTAAGTTAAAAGTCATAGGAGAGTGTAGAAAGTCCCTACCTCAAAGTTAGAAGATGAGCAAGCAAGGGGAAAACTTCAAAGACGTTGAAACTGACTTTTGTTCGAATCAAAATGGAGCTCTTAAGATGCTCTACCTTTTTTTCCAAAGACACTAGGGTAGAGAAACCAACAGATCTAGGTGAAAATGTAACGAGAATGTGAGCTTTAGAAAGAGAAGCTCAAGATCTAGGATTTTGAAATGTTTTAGAGAGAGAAAGAGATGAAAAAATGATGTAAAAAGTGGTTGTTATGAACTGATATACGCATAGTCCGCTTGAGCCCCAAAGTTGACACTCAAGCGTTAAACACAATAAATTGTTCGCTCGAGCACAAAAAGTGTCGCTCGAGCATAGAATGCACACTCCCAGTAGTTTTGCAGACAGTAGGCCAACGTTGGAGTGCAAGAAAGGCTGCTCGAGCACCCACCCGCTCGAGTGTAGGAAACGGCGCTCGAGCGTAGAATACACTCTCTCAGTAGTTTTATTGACCTGCAAAAGTACTGACAGTTCACCAAGCCCCCTCGAGCACAAGAAGTGCCGCTCGAGCGAAGAAGCAAAATCCTGAGCAACAAAAGGTTTGAAAACTATGCAACCAATTTGTTCCAAACATGGTCGATACAATCCAATAGTCAAACTCAAGTAAGAATAAGGGGAAAAAGACATGAACAACATTTAGAAACCATAAAACTCGAGTCTAGAAAATCAAATAGGTCGAGTCAAAATCGGAATCGCTATACAACTTAATATAATTTAAATTTTAAAATTAAATTTAAAAGTTTTAATTAATTAATTTTTGTATAAGTTGGTTGGTCTTTTGACCTAGCCGATTAAGCTGAATCATTGTTGATTTGACTGATTTGTTGGTTAAACTGCGATTTTAGCAATTTTCTCGAAATATATTGATTAGATTTGTTTGATTTGAAATAAATTAAAGAATGATCTAATTAAAGGTTGAACGACTAAGATTGCTTGATTAGAAATAAACTAAAGAATGATCTAATTAAAGGCTGAACGACTAAGATTGCTTGATTAGAAATAAACTTCCCATCCCAATAATTGTTAACTTTTATTTTATAATCCTACATCAGAAAGAAGAAAAGAAGAAGAAGAAGAAAAAGAAGAAGAAGAAGGAAGAACTGAGTTGTTTTACTTATATAAACCTTAATATTGTAGTGTTGTTCATACTTCAATTTAAGCTAGTTTAAATTTTAAAATTAAAATAACATTTAAAAGTTTTGATTAATTAATTTTTGTATAAGTTGGTTGGTCATTTGACCTAACCGTTTTCAGTGAGGAGTATTATGAGAGTTTCAATATCTCATACTAATTTTCTTAATTTTAAACAATTACTAAAAATCTCCATTATCTAGCTAATTAATCTATGATTTATTTAATAATCTCACATCGGGAGAAGAAGAAAAAAGTGAATTGCTGTACTCATCTAAAGTGAATCTTATACTCCCATTTAATATTGTAGTATTGTGCATATTTCAATTTAATATAATTTAAATTTTAAAACAAAATTTAAAAGTTTTAATTAATTAATTTTTGTGCAAGTTGGTTGGCCTTTTGACTTACCCGATTAGGCTGAATCATTTTTTATTTGACTAATTTGTTGGTTTAACGAAAAAATTTAGCAATTTTATTTTAGCAGTTTTATCAAAATATATTGATTAGAAATGCTTGATTCAAATAAACTGAAGTTTGATCTGATTAAAGATTGAACAACCGAGATTTCTTGATTAGAAGTAAACTTCATGTCCAAATAATTGTTAACTATTATTTTATAATCCGACATCAAGAAAAGAAGGGAAAAGTGAGTTATTTTACTTATATAAAGTGAACCTTAATATTGCAGTGTTGTGTATATTTCAATTCAAGTTAGTTTAAATTTTAAAATTAAAATAACAATTAAAAGTGTTAATTAATTAATTTTTGTATAAGTTGCTTGGTCATTTGACCTAATCGATTAGGCTGAATCATTTTTGATTTGACTGATTAGAATCATTTTTTATTTTATTTTACATTGGCTAGCTTTCATTTAACTATATAAAAATAAAATTCTTATTAGTTTATGAATTATTTTATAATCCCACATCGAGAGAAGAAGAAAAAAGTGAGTTGTTTCACTTATATAAAGTAAATCTTATACTCTCCTTTAATATTGTAATGTTGTGCATAGTTCAGTTCAAGACAGCTTAAATTTTAAAATAAAAACTCTAACTAGCTTATGATATGATTTATTTTATAATCCCATATCGGGAGAAGAAAGAAAAAGTGAGTTGTTTCACTTATATAAAATGAATCTTATACTCCCATTTAATATTATAGTGTTCTACATATTCCAATTCAAGACAATTTAAATTTTCAAATAAAATTTGAAAGTTATAATTAATTAATTTTTGTGTATGTTGGTTAATCTTTTGACCTAATTGATTAGGCTGAATCATTTAAGGTTTGACTAATTCGCTGGTTTAATCGCAATTGTAGCAATTTTATCAAAATATATTGGTTAGATTTGTTTGATTCAAAATAAACTAAAAATTGACATGATTAAAGATTAAATGAATGATTGCATGATTAGAAATAAATTTTCCGCCCAAACAATTGTTAATTTTTATTTTACAATCCCACATCAGGAAAATAATGAAAAAGTGAGTTATTTCATCTATATAAAATGAACATTATACTCATATTTAATATTGTAATGTTGTACATACTTCAGTTCAAGACAGTTTAAATTTTAAAATTAAAATAACATTTAAAAGTTTTAATTAATTAATTTTTGTATAAGTTGGTTGGTCTTTTGATATAGCCGATTAGGTTGAACCGTTTTTGGTTTGATTGATTCACTGGTTTAACTGCGATCTTAGTGGTTTTATCAAAAATATTGGTTAGATTTGTTTGATTCGAAATAAACTAAAAACTGACCTGATTAAAGATTAAATGATTGATATTGTTTGATTCGAAATAAATTTCATGCCTGAACAATTGTTAAATTTTATTTTACACATTCCCACATTGGGAAAAGAAGAAAAAAGTAAGTCGTTTCAGTTATATAAAGTAAACATATGATCCTATTTAATATTGTAATATTGTGCATGTTTCAGTGGAAAACAATTTAAATTTTAAAATAAAATAAAATTTAAAAGTTTAATTAATTAATTTTTGTGTAATTTGGTTGGTCTTTTGACCAATTTTAACGATTTTATCTATCGATCTATCTATCTATCTATAGGTATATTGTGTTATTTCTAAAAGGTATGCTAAAGTTCTAAGACAAATTTTAATATAGAATAAACTAAAACTAAAAGATTTATAAAATGAAATTTATTTTTATTTTCTCATAAATATAATTTTTTTTGTAATTTATTCTATTATTTTCATCTTTACCAATTATTTTTATTTTATGACATCTATTTCTTATTGTGAACTTAAAATATATAATTAATGACATAACAACTACAATATATATATATATATATATATTCTAATAAAATGTTTAAAATTTAATTAAATTGAAATCATTTTTCTATACTTTTTAAATAAATTTTATGTTATTATTTGATTTTAAAATTATTTATTTAGCACGTGCATCACACGGGGTTCATATGCTAGTGAGAGTTTCAATATCTCATACTAATTTATTGATTTTCTTAATTTTAAATAATTAAGAATGTAATGCCCTTGAAATTATACAATGAATACAACCCAGAAAATATATGTATATAGCTGCATGAATCAGAGTGTAAAGTTCTTTCATTTCATAATGTTAATAATACAAATGAGTTTAGCGTAAACAAATGCCCTATAGGCTTACACATTTCCAAGCCTTGGCTTGGTTACAACAAAAGTGAGACAAGCTCATACAATTTAAACCCTAGGTTGTACAAAAAGTAAAACAAAACAAAGAAGCTCTTGCTTCCCAAAAGTCCCTCCAATACTATTGTTTTGGTAGAGGCCTTCCATCATTACCTGAAAATGATTTTCCCAAACAGGGTGAGCCACAACCCAGTATGAATAATCTAACACAGTATATGAAATTTAACGAAGGTATAAATACAATGTACATATACAATGCCAGGGATAAACACATGTACATTTTATATACTCATTGAATACTAAATCCATGTTTCATTTCATTTTCCTTCAATTCATTTTAACATATGAGTCAATTTCATTATTCTTTAGATAACCCAAATGAGACTACAACTCAATGGTTCCACAATCATACCATTAACAAACTAACACTTTAATCTTCCCTTTCACGGATATTTCGTCCGCGACAAACCGTCAAATGGGACTCATGTAAATGTAAGCTATACAAGTACTACAATTGCCATTTTACGAAAATTTCGTTCGCAGAATTGGCACCCATGTATAATTTCGGGACTTACACCCAGGACACTCCGACCAACTTAATTTTAATGGAGTCTATCCCCTTTCTCCTCCCAAACCATGGAGTGCATCCCCTTTCTTCTCCCAATCAATCAAACATATATAATGTATTTAAAAAACATAATCATACATGGAGTACATCCCCTTTCTCCTCACAAACAATCATATATATATATATACAATGTATTTAAATTATGGTCATATTCAATGACAACTAACAAGAGATTAGTTTCAATTCACTTAATCCTCATGCAATGTCTACAACATTCAAAGCAATCCTCCACCGATAGCCCAATACAAATATGTCTAACGAATATACAATCTCAAGACAGATAATTTATTCAAAATTTCCAAAGATGAAACGTATCACCTACTCAATTCCACCATCTATTCCAATACTCATCGAATTTCACGTTTACAACACAATTTCATTTATATATACAAAATAAATATCATAATCATTTTACAACAAAGTCCCCTCTTTCCATTTTACACCTAAACCCTAGGTTTGTTTACATTACCCCCAAATCTCACCATTGTTACACATTGACAAATAACTATATTAAAAACCATATTAGGGTGTAGAAAATCCCTACCTCGACGTTAGGAGTTGAGCAAAGCAAAAGGAAGAAACTCCAACGATGCCGAAACCAACTTCTATTCGGATGAAAATGTAGTTCTTGGAAGGCTCCAACTTTTTCTCAAAGACACTAGGGTAGAAAATCCAATGGATCTAGGCTAAAATGCAAAGAGAGAGAAAGAGTCCAGATCTAGGTCCTTGAAAATTTTTAGAGAGAGAGAAGAATGAAAAAGTGATAGAAAATGTCATTTTCGCGATCTGATATACGCACAGTTTGCTCGAGTGGAAGAATTGAAGCTTGAGCGTGTAGACGCGCCCGTGCGCCTCATGCTACAGTTTGGACTCGATTTGTGTCGCGGTTCTTAATCTGAACCAAAGAGTCCAAATCCGGCAAATCGTTTTGAGAAACAGATTTTTGAAAAAGTAGTGCCAAACATGGACTGCTTTGCCAGATACAGAGTCGCCACCTAAATATTTTACAATACTCATCGAATTTCACGTTTACAACACAATTTCATTTATATATACAAAATAAATATCATAATCATTTTACAACAAAGTCCCCTCTTTCCATTTTACACCTAAACCCTAGGTTTGTTTACATTACCCCCAAATCTCACCATTGTTACACATTGACAAATAACTATATTAAAAACCATATTAGGGTGTAGACGAACCCTACCTCGACGTTAGGAGTTGAGCAAAGCAAAAGGAAGAAACTCCAACGATGCCGAAACCAACTTCTATTCGGATGAAAATGTAGTTCTTGGAAGGCTCCAACTTTTTCTCAAAGACACTAGGGTAGAAAACCCAATGGATCTAGGCTAAAATGCAGAGAGAGAGAGAGAAAGAGTCCAGATCTAGGTCTTTGAAAATTTTTAGAGAGAGAGAAGAATGAAAAAGTGATATAAAATGTCATTTTCGCGATCTGATATACGCACAGTTTGCTCGAGTGGAAGAATTGAAGCTTGAGCGTCAGACACAATAAGTTGTTTCGCTTGAGCGCAAAAGTTGACCTGCTCGAGCACAAAATACACCCATCCAGTACTTTTGCAGATGGCAAACAAACCGCTTGAGCACAACAAAGGCCGCTCGAGCGCCAACCCACTCGAGCGTAGGAAACACTACTCGAGCATGGGAAACACTCTTCCAGTACTTTTGCAGACGTGCAAAGTACTGAGAGTTCGCAAATCCCGCTCAAGCATAAGAAGTGGCAAAATTTACAAAGCCTCCTCGAGCGGAGAAGCAAAAATCTAGGCAACAAAGGTTTGGAAAAACAAGCGACCAACCTGTCCTAAACAAACAACTACAACCCGATAACTAAAATAGAGGGAAGGCAAGAGAAACAAGACGTGGATAACCATTCAAAACCACACAACCCGAGTCTGGAATACAAAAAGTGACGGGTCAAAATCGGGATTGCTATAAAAAAAATCTCCATTGGATAAGTTTTATTTGATAATCCCACGTCGACAGAAGAAGGAAAAAAATGAATTGTTTTACTCATCTAAAGTAAATCTTATACTCCCATCCCATTTAGTATTGTAGTGTTGTGCATATTTCAATTCAATATCGTTTAAAATTTGGGTAAATTACAAATACAACTCCTGAGGTTTGCTTAAAATACGAATTGTCCCCTGTAATTTGGAAAATTACAAATACCTCACTATCAGAATTTTTTATTTAACAGAATTAATTGAAAAGGTAAAATTTCTAATTGTTCACCTATACAATAATAAAATTATCTGAATTATTAATTGAAATAAAAATTTAACATTATTAAAAATTATTAATTAACTTGATAATTTATTAATAAAAGGACATATTTGTTATGAAATTAGAAATCTTTGGGTCATAATGTAATTTCTAGAACCATGGGGGGTAATTTGTAATTTCAGTAAACCTCAGGAGGTGTGTTTGTAATTTACCATTTAAATTTTAAAAATTTTAATTAATTAATTTTTGTGTAACTTGGTTGGTCTTTCAACCTAACCGATTAGGCTAAATCATTTTTAATTTGATTGATTCGTTGGTTTAATCGCGATTTTAGCGGTTTTATCAAAATATATCGATTAGATTTGTTTAATTTGAAATAAATTAAAGATTGAAATACTAAGATTGCTTGATTAGAAATAAATTTTCCCTCCAAATAATTGTTAACTTTTATTTTATAATCCCACATCAGAAAAAGAAGAAAAAAGTGAGTTGTTTCACTTATATAAAGTGAATCTTAATAGTGTAGTATTGTGTATACTTCAATTCAAAACAATTTAAATTTTAAAATTAAAATAACATTAAAAAGTTTTAATTAATTAATTTTTGTATAAGTTGGTTGGAGATTTGACCTAATCGATTAGCCTGAACCAATTTGGGTTTGACCGATTCGTCGATTTAATCATGATTTCTCATACTAATTTTGTACAATTAAAAAGTATCTATTGGCTAACTTCCATTTAATCATATAAAAATAAAATTCCAATTAATTTATGATTTATTTCATAATCCTGTATTAGGAGAAGAAGAAAAAGTAAAGTTTGTTTCACTTATATAAAGTAAATCTTATACTCCCTTTTAATATTGTAGTGTTGTGCATAATTCAATTCAAGATAGTTTAAATTTTAAGATAAAAACACTAATTAGTATATGATATAATTTATTTTATAATCCCACATCGGAAGAATAAGAAAAAAGTGAGTTGTTTCACTTATATAAAGGGAATCTTATATTTCTATTTAATATTGTAGTGTTGTGCATATTTCAGTTCAATACAGTTTAAATTTGAAAATAAAATTTGAAAGTTTTAATTAATTAATTTTTGTGTAAGTTGGTTGATCTTTTGACCTAGTCAATTAGGCTGAATCATTTTTTGTTTGACTGATTTACTGGTTTAACTGCGATTTTAGCGGTTTTATCAAAATATATTGGTTGGATTTGTTTGATTCGAAATAAATTAAAGATTGACTTGATTAAAGATTGAACGATTGATTGCTTGATTAGAAATAAATTTTCTGTCCAAACAATTGTTAATTTTAATTTTACAATCTCGTATCGAGAAAATAAGAAAAAAGTGAAATGTTTCACTTATATAAAATAAACCTTATTTTCCTATTTAATATTGTAATGTTATGCATGTTTCACTTCAAGACAGTTTAAATTTTAAAATTAAAATAACATCTAAAAGTTTTAATTAATTAATTTGTATATAAGTTGGTTGGTCTTTTAACCTAACCGATTAAGATGAACCGTTTTTGGTTTAACTAATTCGTTGGTTTAATCGCGATCTTAACACTTTTATCAAAATATATTAGTTAGATTTTTTTGATTCAAAATAAATTAAAAATTAATTTAATTAAAAATTAAATGACTGATATTTTTTGATTTGAAATAAACTTTCCGCCCGAACAATTGTTAATTTTTATTTTACACAATCCCATATCAGGAAAAGAAGGAAAAAGTGAATTGTTTAGGTTCTATAAAGTAAACATATGTTCCCATTTAATATTATAGTGTTGTGCATATTTCAGTTGAAAACAGTTTAAATTTTAAAATAAAATAAAATTTAAAGGTTTTAATTAATTAATTTTTGTGTAAGTTGTTTAGTCTTTTGACTGATTTTAACAATATATATTGTTTTATTTCTAAAATGTATGTTTAAGTTTGATGACAAATTTTAACATAGAATAAACTAAAACTAAAAAATTTATAAAATGAAATTTATTTTTATTTTATCGTAAATATATATATATATATATTAATTTATTCTATTTTTTTTCATCTTTATCAATTAAATTATGACAACTGCAATGGTTAAAATTTAATTCATTCTAAATTATTTTCTATACTTTTTATTTAATAAAATGGTTAAAATTTAATTCATTCTAAATTGTTATTATTTAATTTTTAAATTATTTATTTTCATATACTAGTGAATATATATGACAATGGAGAACAACCATTTCAAGCTTGAAGTAGAGAATATTTTTCCTTTTTCTTCGTAAAAAAAATAAAAAAAAATAGAAAAATAATGCAGAACTTAACCACAAACATTAACATCTTCTGTTAAGCTTCATTGAAATTATACATAACACGAATCAAAAAAGAAAAAAAAAATTCACCCTAAAAATTTCTTTTTAGTTTTTTTATGAAAATTTTGAGACTTTCAATTAAAACAAGAACTTATTTGGTTTATTGTCTATAAATATACAACATTTTTAAAAGTTTCTTTTTCTTTTTTTGAAACTAAAATTTGTTCAAGCAATAATTCAACTAAAAAAGCGAAAAAAAAAAAACATTCATTCAGCTATGCAATGAACAATCAAGTTGATCTTGTGAAAGTCCAAAATTATGATTTCAATTTGCTGAACGTCCATTCACTAATTTTCAATTAAATCATCAATTGAATTTTTTTTTAAAAGAAAATGAAGATTATCATCCGTAATGCTCAAGCTGCAGCCACAGCACAACATCACATCTTCTAGTCGATCTTCAACCTCGAGCGAGCCAACAATAGTTATATCTCTGATATATTTGATTGTAAACACATTGTTCTCTTTCAAATACAAGGGACCATGTAAACAAATTAGATTGTGACCAAACACCAACAATAGTTATAAATTTAGATTGTGACCAAACACCAACAATAGTTATAAATTTAGATTGTGACCAAACACCAACAATAGTTATAAATTTAGATTGTGACCAAACACCAACAATAGTTATAAATTTAGATTGTGACCAAACACCAACAATAGTTATAAATTTAGATTGTGACCAAACACCAACAATAGTTATAAATTTAGATTGTGACCAAACACCAACAATAGTTATAAATTTAGATTGTGACCAAACACCAACAATAGTTATAAATTTAGATTGTGACCAAACACCAACAATAGTTATAAATTTAGATTGTGACCAAACACCAACAATAGTTATAAATTTAGATTGTGACCAAACACCAACAATAGTTATAAATTTAGATTGTGACCAAACACCAACAATAGTTATATCTCTGATATATTTGATTGTAAACACATTGTTCTCTTTCAAATACAAGGGACCATGTAAACAAATTATTTTGGTTATATCTCTGATCAATTTGATCGTAAACACATTGTTCTCTTTCAAATACAAGGGACCATGTAAACAAATTATTTTGGTTATATCTCTGATCAATTTGATCGTAAACACATTGTTCTCTTTCAAATACAAGGGACCATGTAAACAAATTATTTTGGTTATATCTCTGATCAATTTGATCGTAAACACATTGTTCTCTTTCAAATACAAGGGACCATGTAAACAAATTATTTTTGAAATTTATGACTTCTTATATTTAGTTATAATTGTAAACACATTGTTCTCTCTCATCTGTCATGGCTAAGGGACCATAGATTGTGACCAGACAAAGTTCTCTTTCAAATACAAAAC